AGGGCTCTTAAAACCAGTTCTTAATTTAACTTCCAGTTTCTGGAGGCATTTTACCAGCCTTCCACTCTCATTTTCTCTGAGGAAAAGCAGCCCCTGGCTTGGAAAGATGTTCAAATAAAGGGATGTTGCCAAATTATTAAAATTAAAGGCAAGTGCTGAGTTGGCCGAGCTGGAACTCATGGCTGGGAACCAGCTTCCAAAATTCCCTCAGCAGCTTGCAGAGGACTGCAAGGATCACCTCAGCCTGGGATGTTTGGAAAGCTCATGGAAAGCCTGGGGGGAGCCATAAATCAGTGACAATGTTGTCCCACTCTATCTTATCCATCGTGCCTTCATTTGTCTCCCTGACCCGGGTCAAGGAATCCCAGGATGGTTTGGGTTGGATGAGACCTTAAGGACCATCTTAAGGACATTAAGGACATCTTAGAGCCCTTCAGGACCCCCTGCCATGGGACACCTTCCACTAGTCCAGGTTGCTCTGAGCCCTTTCCTACGTGGTTAGGATTTTCCAGGACCTTTTTGGGATGAAGATGTGATGGCACATGTGGATTCCTGGCCAGGCACAGCCAGGCTGGAGGGTTTTCTGCTGGGAAGATCTGTCATTCCTGTTACAAACACCAGATGCTGGGAAAACAAAGAGCCCTTTCCTGTAAACAACAGCACATTTTGTTTGGCTTGGGAGCACCAGCAACAAAACCCCCCAAAAAAGTGGGGAAAGGTGGAAAACGGAACAAGGGGGGAAGTGCTGGAGGCAGAGGGAAATGGAGGCAGGAGAATGACTCCCCAGGGCCACTGTGGGTTTGGGGGCTGCAGGTTGGGGTTGGAAAGGACCTTAAAGCCCATCAAGTGCCACCCCCTGCCACGGGCAGGGACACTTCCCACTATCCCAGGTTGCTCCAAGCCTCATCCAACCTGGCCTTGGACACTTCCAGGGATGGGGCAGCCACAACTGTTTCCTTCTTTTTTCTTCCACCACCTTTTTCTTCTTTTTCTTTTCCACCATTTTCTTCTTCTTTCCCCTCCACAGCCTTTTTCCTTCTTCTTCTTCTTCTTCTTCCAGGGATCAAAGACCTCCTTTGGGAGGGTAGACATGAAGGAGCTGATGGGGAATGCCAACAAGTCAAATAATGAGGGGCTTGCCCAGCAGTGGGAATAACAGATCCTACTTGCTTGGAATTGCTTGGACACTGCCTGAGATCTGGTGAGTTCTCAAAGCCCAGAGCAAATATTTGAGCATCACATGGTGCAAGAGGAGATCTTTTCTCTTCCTTAAAGGCTCCTGAACGTGATAAAAAGGAAAATGTTGCAGTGACAGGCTCAGAGGTGAGTCTGTCACAGCTGCAATTCACTGGGGGGTGACCAGAATTCCCAGCTCCTCTGCCCTGGAGGGATAACTGAGGGAACAGGTGGATAACATGCAACTCCTGCCAACAATTCCATATTGCTTGTCCTGGGATTGGCAGCTCAGACACACAGGCCTCTCCCAGGTGAGGAATCTCCTGAGATGCACCACGAGGTACCCAGTTGGGGTGGCCTGGGGGGAGATGCCCAGAGAGCCAGGAGGCTCCTGCTCCACGGCAGAGGAATTTCAAGGCTGGATTGGGAAAATTTAGGATTAGGGCTTGTTTGGCTTTGTTTTTCACCACCAGAATTCCAAACCATTGGATGGTTTTCTTCCAGCTGGGGAGAAACTCTGGTTTTCAGAGGGAACGCTGGCACCAGAGCAGACAAACACTTCCCAAATGGGAAAAGCAGGAATCCTAAAGAAGGGACTGTGCCCTGGACTGGGGGCACCTACAGGGACTAAATCCACCTGCTAATCCTTGGGAAGAACAGAGCAACCAGCAGGAACTCCTGCAGCGGAAGCTTGGAGGGAGTTTTCCACCGAAAATGCTGCAAAAACAAAAGCTAAGTTATAAAAATCCAAATATTTTGAGAAATTGAATCTGTTTTCATGCCAGGAGACACCGAGGAGCTGCATTTCCAGAGCTACTAAGGAGGCAGGAGCAGGAATGAGAGGTTTGAAGAGCCCCTTTTGAGGGAGCAGGTGGAAAGTTTTCAGGATCTCCTGAAAAATCAGGGAACTGAGGATCTCCCGGGGCGACAAGGCAGGAGCTAGCACTGGAGCATTCCCTGTTCTCCGGCCCCCTCCAGTGGCTACAGAACACGGAGAGGAGGCAGCCACAGCCTCCAAAGCCGGCAGGATCCAGGCTGTCCCAAATCCAGAGCCATCTCCTGAAGCAAAGAATTAGGCCCAAAGCCAAGTTCTTGCACTGCAACATCTTTATTCGGCTCCACGTGGATCCAGACCCACCACAGGGCTGATTTTTTTCCCCTGGGAAAAGCCAACAAACCACTGATTGGCACTTCTGAAGTGGGATTCTGTCCCCTCTGTTCCCTCCTGGTGTTTTGCTCTCTGGAAGACGAAAAGCTAAAAAGGTGCTGCACCTTTTTGGGGTAAAAAGGGCTTTATTACTTGACTTTGGGGATTGAAAAACAAGCAACAAAGCCCAAAGAAACTCACCCAAAACAACCCAAAAATTGCTTCAACTCAACAGATGCTCTTCCTCCACCTTATGTAAAATTGCCAAACAGCAGGAAATCTTTGGGTCCCAGCTCCCAGCATTCCATGGCCTGGAAATTTTCCCTGAGCCATTAAGACAAGAGGAAAGCCCACAGGAAAAAAAAGGCATCATTGGGTCTGCCTGGCTTATTTCAGATCTGCTTTGGTTTTGTTTATATGGCTTGAAAATACACAAATGCCTAAAATATTATTAGAATATACCCAAATATTATTAGAATATGACTAATTAATATTTAGATCAGAATGCCTAAATATTATTCAGATTTTATATTGGAAGGCTCTCGTTTCCTGGGTTTAAAAGGACAGGGACAGCCAGAGGATGGAAGTTTGGGCCCCACAGGACACTGAGGTCCAATAATTATCATTAATTTATTTTCAGATTCAGTATTATCTCTCTACAAGGAAAATTCCAGCTCTCTTGTGTATTAAACCACTTGGCAAAGCCAGGTTTAAGTAGGCTGGGTTTAAGCAGCAACCAATGTCCACAGGGATAAGAAAAGTCTGGCACTTACAGCTTAATACTGAATTGCCCCTAAGCTGGACCCATTTGAAGCCAAAAGCGAGACCATCCAGGTTTCAACAGACCTTTCCCAGGCACATTCCCTCAGTTAAGATGGAAGCTGGATGGATGATCCAGGCAAAATGTGTCCTGCACTTCAAAGCTCTGATTCTGCCCATGGCCAAGGGATTGATGAACTCCAAGCTTGTGCTGGGAGAAGCATCCCTTGACCTGGAGAAATCCATGGTCAGGGGAACCCTTGGGATTGACTTCAGAATTAATATTGTACCAGGCTTAGCTTTAATTATAGTGGAGTTACAGCAGGCAGCAAATTCACTAAATTCTCCCCATTTCCTGGGGGGAATTCCCACTGGGGCACTTCACCATAGCTCATAGCACCAAGAGCTTGGACAAGGCTCTCGGGGCCAGGGTGGGGTTGCTGGGGTGTCCTGAGCAGGGCAAAGCAACTCAAAATCCCGGGGTAAAAGCCACCCCAAAAAAAGCTTCCATGGCTTTGCCCCAACACAACCCACCCCGACTGCCGTCCCTCCGCACCGGAGCTCCCGGAGCACGGCCATCCCGTGCTCCTGCAAAACATTAGGGATCCCCCAGCAAGGTGCCAAGAGGCTTTTACAACCTGTTTGCATCTCCCAGGCATGTTAACACCTCCATAAAGTGAGCACACGACTCGCAGGCACCGGGAAAACCGAAACCAGCTGCTCGCCTGGAAAGGGAACGGGGAAAAGCTGCTGCCTCCTCACCTGCTCACAGCTCCACATCCGTCCCATCTCACCCAGGGAGGGCTTGGAAATATCCTTGGCTTTTGCCACCTTAAGCTAAAATCAGGATGGAAGGGGCAGCTGGATCTTCCACGTCACGGAATTGAAATAACAGGAAATAATCAGGGATTGGGTTTTTCCTGCCCTCCATTTATTTGTGGCTCTGGATAAAGAACATTTGTCAAGGCCTGTGGGGTAAATCCATAGGGATGGGGCTTGGAGCAACCTGGGCTAGTGGAAGGTGTCCCTGCCCATGGCAAGGGTTGGGAATGAGATGACCTGTAAGGTTCCTTCCAACCCAACCCAGTCTGGGCTTTGATGATATTTAAAGCCCCATCTGGAGAAACCCCTTTGCCCACTGGATGAGCACGGGAAGAACATCTGGCAGAGCAAAACTGTCCAAAAAATCACCTTCTAACACAGGGACCAGAAAGGAAGCAGTGAAGTAAAAGCAAGTAGCAACTATCACCTGAGTTTTTTCCCAAGATCCCGAGGGACCACCATCTCTGCCCTCCTAACGCTGGGATTTTGGCAGGGATTCCTTTACACTGACCCTGAGCCTTTAAGGAGCTGACCCTGAGATCCTGAGGAAAGGCTGTTGGCTCCCTGGAGATGACACTTTCCTGGGAGTTTGTGGCGTGAAGAGGCACTGGGAATCAAAGGAGTCCAGGCACAGAATCTTCCAATTTGAGACTCCCAACTCAAGCCAAAAAGCCCTTTCTTCTCCCTTTTCCACAAACAAAACAGAGCTGGAAGGCAGATCCAGGAGGGCTTTCCCTGACCATGCCACAGGATCCAGAGTCAAAGGGAGGTGGGAACTCCTGGTTTTCTGTGCCACCAGAAGAGGACAGAGGAAAACATCCCCAATTTTACTCACAAACTTCACACAGGAGGAAAAGGCCAAGTACTGGTGGCAGAGAGAGGCTTCCTTGTATCCTATAGGAAGAGGAAAGGCTCCAGCAGGGAGAGCCAGGAGTGTGGAACAGAGGAGTGACAGAGTTCCACTCGTGCCAGCAGCTCCAGGATATATTGTATTTACTCAGGGAACACCCGCACACCTCAGTCAGGCTCATTCCCAGCAAATCCCTGGGGAAAGGAGGGACACATAGAACCACTGCCCCTTAAATCCGGAAGGGCAAAAAAACCCCAGGAGCAGGGAATGATGTGCACTCTGTGGGGAAAGGGTTGGGATCGGCACCTGGCTTCTGCAAACTGAGCAAACCAAACCATCCAGGGAAGCAGCCAGTTGTCCTTTAAGTGTGTTCATGGAGTAAAAATTGTTTAATGGGGTCTGGGATTGGAAGGATATGGATGAGATCCAGGCGGGATTTGCCGAGGGCTCTCCGGACAGCGATGCGGCACAGGGACAGGAGGCTCCGGGGGCGGCCTGCAAGGAAAAACATGGAATCACTGAGGGACAGGGAGAACTGCACAAATCCTCCCCCTGAGGAAGCCAAACCTTCCAGCCAAGGATTTGGAGCAATGACAGCTCCACATTGGATGGGGTGGGGACCATGGAGCCCATCCCTGCAGGAGAGGGGCCAGGAGAGCACTGCCAAGGCACACCAGCACCCCAGGGAATGGCTGGAGCTGTGTCAGGGAGGGTTGGATATCAGGAGAAGGTTCTGGAAGGCACTGAACAGGCTCCCCAGGGCGATGGTGCCAGAGCTCCAGGAGTGTTTGGACAACACCCTGAGGGACAGGGTGGGATTGTTGGGATTGTCTCAGGCAGGGACAGCAGTTGGACTGGATGGTCCCGGTGGGGCCCTCCCAGCTCAGGATATTCCATGATTCTACTTGGATCATTCTAAAAATACATGGACACTATTTTTGCTGGGAAACCAGAGCATGGAAGGGCAGCTCAAGCCTTATCCCAGCTTTCTTCTGAGGGCTTGGGAGCTCCTGGAGAGCTCTTCCAGCACAGGGACAACAGGATGGTGGTGTCCATGTTCATTCAGGCTCTGGACCTCCAAGGCACCACTCCGTTATCCTCCCTGCTCCACCTGAGGAGTCCCACTTGCCTCCTAAACCCGGGCTTAACCAAAACCACCCGCTCCAGCCTAGCTGAGACTGTGCTCAGCAAAAATCCAGGCAGGATTTTAAAAACCAGGCCTTTATAAAGCTGAGGAACTTGGGGATGGGGGCTGGATCCCACAGCCTGGATCAGGCTCTGAGGACACCCTCAGGCGATGGGAAAGAGCTGAGAAAGAGGGAAAAGGTGGATTTACAGGCAGAGATTGGGCTGCTGAAGGACTCGGGAGGGAAAACAGCACATGAAGGTACAAAATGCAACAGTGAAAAAACAGGGAGTTGTTTTTGGGGTGGTGAAGTCACTGATGTTGAGTTTAACACCTTGTTGGATCCCAGTTGTCTTTTTAGAGTGTTGGAATTGCTGAAGACTCTTGAACAGGCTCCAAATACACCTACTTGTGTGGGTCTTCAGAACTGCTGAAAGCCCACGAACAGACCCCAAAGGCACCTTCAGGTACAAAATGCAACAGGAGAAAACACAGGGAGTCATTTTTGGGGTGGTGAAGTCACTGATGTTGAGTTTAATACCTTGTTGGAGCCCAGTTGTGGTTTGGATGTGTTAGAACTGCTGAAGGTCCTTGAACAGGCCCCAAAGGCACCTTCACCTCATGAAGGCACAAAATGCAATGGAAGAAACAGGGAGCTGATTTTGGCATGGAGAAATCAGTGCTGTTGAGTTTAACACCTTGCTGGTGTTGTGGTTTTGATGTGTTAGAATTGCTGAAGGCCCAAAAGAGGCCGGGAACACCCACCCCACCACTTCAGTTCCAAAGAACCCCCCCAAAGCCTTTTCCCGACTCCAGAGCGCCGCTCCAGGAACTCCAGCCCCACTTACCTCTGGCTTCTTTGAACACCTCCAGAGCCTCAGGGTTGACTTTGACCCTTCCCGTGGATTCCATTCCCAAGGCCTCCACCTTGACCAGGCTGAGATCTGCCCCAAAGTCCACGAGGAGCCGGACGAAGGCGGCGTCGCAGCCGTGGCGCAGGACGGCGTCCAGCACGCACACCGGGGAGCCCCTGGAGAAGCCCTGCAGGTTGATGGGCCCCCAGCAGTTGAAATCCGGGTTGGCTCCGGCCCGGAGCAGCAGCTGGAAGCACTGGAGGTTGTGGTAGGCAGCGCTGATGTACAGGGGGCACACCACCAGCGTGGTGAGGGGCCGCGGGGAGTGGCCCCCAGAAGGTGGGTGGTGGTTCACGTCCACGTCCGCGCCGTACCTGCAGGGGCACAGGGAACTCAGGAGGGCTGGGAACACCCGGGGGATTCCCACACGGAGAGGGAGAACCCTGCCTGTCTTTGGCACCTCTGTGTCCCACCAGCCATGAACTGTCACCCTCAGGTGGGTCTGGAGGGGCTTCGGATTAGGGACAACATGTCCAGCGTGGGCGGATCTTCCAGAAGCAAAGCTGGTTTTCCCAGGATTTGGAAAGACAAAGAGCAGCTGGGGAACATTTTTCCTTGCCCTCCTGTATGTGGTTTGCATGGCCAGGTTTTGGTAGTGGGCGGGGCTCCAGGGGTGGTTTTTCCAGAAGCTTTTCCATATCCAGCAGAGGCAATTCCAGCTCCAGGATGAACCTGCCATGGGCCAAGGCAGAGCCCATCAGGAATGAGAGTAATGCCTCTGGGATAACAGATTTAAGAAGGAAAAAAGTAGTTGGAAGATGAAATTGGAGCAGTTCCTGAAGGTCTGACCCCATGGAATGTGACCCACACTGGCTTAGTTCCTGAGGGACTGACACAATGGAAGGACCTGGAGTAGTTCCTGAAGGACTGACCCCATGGAAGTGTGACCCACATTGGAGCAGTTCCTGAAGGACTGACCCCATGGAAGTGTGACCCACACTGGAGCAGTTCCTGAAGGACTGCCCCCATGGAAGGACTTGGAGCAGTTCCTGAAGGACTGACCCCATGGAAGAGTGGAGACACTAATTCCATCTCCTTCCCACACAGTTAGGATGGGAAGAAGGAGGAAGCCACCCCAATCCCTAAGGAATGGCTGGTTTTAACCACTGCAGATCAAGCAAAGCTCTGTCCCTTCTCCCCACAGAGGGATAAAAGGTTCCCTCACCCACCAATTCCCCTTCCAAAATTGCAAACTGGGTGCTCAGAGATCCTTCTGTCTTCCTAGACAGCATTATATTCCTTGCAGGAACTGACAAAAATAAGGACAATCCCAGGAGACAAATCCTGCCTCAGAACAAGGCCAGTTCTTGCTGAAACCAGGAAACCTTTAACCAAATCCTTCAATGCTGAGGGTGGAAAGAGTCTCAAGCACACCCAGAACCAGGGATGAGAGAACAAGAGCTGCAAATGGCACAAGGATGGATTTTCCTCTTCAAATCACATTCCAGGAGCATTTGGATGAAGTGCCACTTCCATAGGGTGACCTCCTGAGCAGGGAGCAGCTATTCCTTCATTTCAGTCCTTTTTTCCCCCAAAATTCTCAGAGGAAAGCCTCAGTTCTGAGCAAAACCCCAAATTCTACTTTGTCAGAGTCAGACAGGCACCTGAAGCATCAGGGGGATGTGTCAGCTCTCCTTTTTCCCTGTTTTAACCTGGAAAAAGGATCCTCTCATCCTTGCCGGATCAGCCACTGGAACCCATCCCACTGCAAATCGGGAGGGAAGCCACCTCTCCTCGAAATATTTCCACCAGCTGCCTTCTGAAACGGATCACCATCCCAGAGATGTGTGGATTTACTATTAATGGATACAATTCCACCTCCTCCTTGGTTCAGGAATGCTCAGGGGTCCCGACTGTGCTACAGCATGATTTTAAACCCAGGATTAACCAGGTGAGGTTTAGACAACCTGAGCAGGTTGGCCTCTCTGGGGCTGAAAGATTTCCTTATATCCCAGGAAAAGTGTCTTCCCCATTGCATTCCCCCTGCCAGATCCAAACCCTCGGAGAGAGCTGCATTTTGAACTAAGTAACTCCCTGGATCTGTGAAATCCCTGCTCAGGGATATTTGACATTTTGGGCAATCTGACAATTTGGTATTAACTGAGCAGCCCTGGGAGAGACATTCCCGAATAAAAAGGGACTGGACAAACTCCAGTTCATTTTTAAACCTGAAAGTTTTCCAAAAATCTTGCCTTTAATATTGCTGGCAAGGTATCCCGAGGAGCAGACACATAAATCAAGGCCCCAGCTCTCCCTGGGCTGCTGAAATCCCATTTGCTACATTCCAGCCTGCCTGGGTGGATGGATCAGGGGAGGTTTTTGGGAATCAACAAGCATGTGGCACTGGGGACATCCTGCTCTCAGCTTCCCAGGAAAGGAGCAAGGAGGGGGGATTGTGTCCTATTTTTCCTCCTTGCCAGCTTCCTGAAAGCTGCACTCAGATGAAAACTCACTCCCCCACATGCAAAGAAGGGAAGAAAACCCTCAAGGGTTTGGAATTTTCTCTATCCTGATCCTTTGTTTGTTATTTTCCAGCATTTGAGGTCATAGAAGGGATTCCTTGATTTGGACTCTGTGTGAATCCAAGGAAATTTTCCCCTCTTTTCCTATTTCTCTGTATTTTCCCCTGGTGATCTCTCATTATTTGTCATCAAGGTAGTTGTCCAGCACGATCCCTTAGACAAAAATCTTCCCATTTAAAAGCAGGAATAATCAGGAAATGCCACAGAAAAAGCAATCCAGGTTCCCACAACCTACACCTTGATCCCACTCGCTGTTGGTGCTGCTGAGGGAGCTTCCAGAGGGACAGGAGGTCACCCATCACCCCATGAGGTTCTTCAGGGGATCCACCTCCCTCTGGAATTCAACTGGGAGTCGGGAGCTGGATCCTGTGGAAGATTTGGATGTGACTGAACAGTGGATGCCCAGAACTAGAGACTCCTCTCGAGGGCTTTGATGAGGACAAGAGGCATGGAAGTCACACCACAGGATACAGACCTGCTGCCAGCAAGGGTCTGTATCAAGGGTCTCCATTTGGGATCTCTCCACCCTCTCTCCTCCTCTCCATGTCTTTATCAGCTCCACCAGGCATGTGGAGGCTGAGAAAAGATCCCAAGGGAAGAAGAGAAAGGAGAAGAGCCACCCCTGTGAAGGTCACAGTTCCCTGTCTCAAACACTGCCAAGGCCACAGAAGGAACTTTCCCTAAAATCAGCCACCACAGGGGAATTTGGGATAAGCACAGAAAGGAGGAATTTGTGACAGGAAGGTGCCAATTCCAGGCCTGGTCAGAACATCCAGAGAAAAAATCCCACCGTGGCAAATGGTGGGAAAGGAAGAAACTGCTCACAATGTATCACCCCAAATTATGGGAATACCTGTGACCACCCCCTGGATACCTGGAACTTGGACTGTCCAAAAGTGGTACCCTCAGAATGACTCCAGGACACCAGGGGGAAGCCCAGGGGCAAGAAGGCCCAGTGGGACACCACTGGATACAGGTGGGGATGATCTCCTGCTTCCCTCTCTCCTTCCCCCCAAGCTCTTTTCTGCTGCTTTCCATCTCCCTCCCTCACATTTATTGTTCCATGAAATCCCTGTTGTGGATTCAGCAGGGGGCCCAAAATCACCACATCTGCTCCCACACCTGGATTTGGGCAGAGGCACCTCTTGATAACCACACCATGACAACTCCTGTCCCTCCCCTAGTCTGTCCCTGAGCTCCTACCTCATGATTTCCTGGAGGATTTTGGCCCCATAACCACCCCTGTCCCCTCCAGGCTGTCCCCAGCTCCCACCTGATGAGCTCCTGCAGGATGTCACCCCTGTCCCCTCCAGGCTGTCCCCAGCTCCCACCTGATGAGCTCCTGCAGGATGTCTGCCCGTCCCACTCTGGCCGCGTGGTACACGGGAGTGCTGCGGTGGTGCCGGCTGCCATTGGGATCAGCCCCAGCTTCCAGCAGGATCTTGGCACACTCCAGGTGCCCGTTGACCACGGCTACATAGAGGGCCGTCTGTCCCTTGACGTCCACCAGGTCGATCTCGGCCCCTTTCTGCAGCAGGAAGTCCACGCAGGGCCCGTGGCCGGCGGTGGCCGCGATGCGCAGGGGGGTGCAGGGCAGCCACCCGCAGCACCACACCGACTTCTCGTTGATCCGGCTGCACCACGGGGAAAAACAGGGCTCAGAGAAGCCTTCCAGCTCCCAAAGAGGATGCTGGAACAGCCCAAACTGCCCCCTGGAAGACGGGCACCGCCCAGGCTCCCCGGGGCAGCGGTGGTGGTCCCAAGGCTGTCCCGATTGGACAACGCCCTCAGGAACAGGGTGGGATTGTTGGGGTGGCCGGGGCAGGGCCAGGGCTTGGGTTCGGTGATCCCTTCCAGCTCAGGATACTCCATGGTTTTTGGCACTTTTTAGCAGCCCTAAGAAGCTCCTGACAATAACCTGAGAGGTGCTGCATGGAGACACAGCTGGGAGCAGTGCCTGGAATCTGGGCTTTCTCCCAGCTCTGCCCCAAAATTCAGTCAAAATCATCAATAAAGAATATAAAATACTGCCCTACTCCCTTCTAACAGGGAAATATCCCTCATTGCTGTGGCTGCCCCACCCCTGGAAGTGTTCAAGGCCAGGTTGGAGCAACCTGGGATAGTGGAAAGTGTCCCCGCCCTTGGAAGAGGATGAGCTTTAGGGTCCCTCCCAACCCAAACCAGTTCATGTGATTCCATGACTCCATGAAATCAGCAGTGACCAAGCTGGGGATCACAACCATTTAATTCAAGCTGCTCCAAAGGGTGCAGAAAGTAATCAAAGCAGCAGAGAAATGTCAAGAGGACACAGGAGAAAGGGAGAAATGTACGGAAAATAGAGGGATGCAGCTGTATCACAGCATCAGCAACATCCACGCTCAGCCAGGGACCACGGGATGACACAATCACCAATCCAGGGAAACTCAGTTTGGGAGGTGCAGCCATCCTAAGTAGGCCATCCAACCCTTGTTGGATGGCTGGTTGGGGATAAGGGCCTTTCCCAATTTACTGAAGGAGATGGCTCTGGAAGAGGAGCAGTATAACCCCCCCCCCATCAAGCCCTAAGCTGTCGAGTCTTAAAATCAAAGTGCTCCCTTTATCCTTGGAGATTTGGGGAACTCCAGATCTACCCCCACAATCACAGGCACCCCTTCCCTGCTCCCTCCATCCCCTGTGTGATGGTGTTGTGGGTCCAGCCCTCCTCTTCCTGTCAAACTGTGCTTTTTCATGCAAAAAACCCTCAGGCCAAGGGTCCAAAGAGCCCCAGCTGTCCAGATGGCAGAAAGAGGGTTTGGGTCATTCTCCTTTTTTGCTGAATTGACATTTTTTGGGGGGTCAGGACACATTTAGCCCTCTAAGCAGTTTTCTCCACGGTGCAGGAAAATTAATTAACTATCCCAGGGTTAGCACTGGGCAGAGTTTGTAACACGGGGTGTTTCAGGTTTACAGCTGATTGTAATCCCTTTTGTATGTTTTTCCCCATTATCCATGGGCTCCTGTTTTCCTGGGATCCCATTCCCACCCTGATCTGAAAAGAGTTTGTGCACGGCCACCAAGCTCTGGTGTGAGATCTGTGTCCTGGGAGACCAGGGGGGATGACCTGGGGGGGGTGAATGGAGCATCCTCCCATCCTGACCCCTCTCGCACAAAAACCCTCATCCCTGGAAGTGTTCAAGGCCAGGTTGGAGGGAGGTGGGAGTTTAGTGGGAGGTGCCCCTGCCCATGGCAGGGAGTGAGACTGGATGAGCTTTAAGGTACCTCCTGACCCAAGCCACTCTATGAAAATCAGAGTGAGATGGGGGGCCCTAAAGGTGCAGGCTGCGGGGATAGTGAGCAGAGAATCCTTGGAGACACCTCTCCCAAAAAAACAGGGTGATTTGGGGGTTCCCAAAAGGCACAGGCTGTGGGGATGGTGAGTGGAGCATCATCCCACCCTGACACCTCTCCCATGAAAACCCCCATCCCTGGAAGTGTCCAAGGCCGGGTTGGAGCAACCTGGGCTAGTGGAAGGTGTCCCTGCCCATGGCAGGGGGTGGGATGGGATGGGCTTTAATGTCCCTTCCAACGCAGCCCACCCTGCGAACGCCGGGGTGCGATGGGGGTCCCCAAAAGGCGCAGGGACGCAGCATCGCTGCTGCCGCGGGACCTCGCTGTGCCCCCCGAGGGTCTCCCTGCCCTCCCCCCCGGCAGCTCCCCGGGCAGCTCTCCTCACCTCTGGAAGCTCTCGTCCTGCAGCAGGCTCCGCAGGGTGGGCAGGTCCCCCACGAAGGCGGCGTCGTGCAGCCGGGTGTCCTCGCAGTGCTCCAGGGGGTGGTCGCAGAACTGCTCCCGCAGCCATTCCTTCAGGTTCCGACCTGCGCTGGAGGGAGACACGGCGGGGCGCCGGGATGAGGCCCGGGGGGAGCCGGGATGAGCCCCGGGGGGAGCCGGGAT